CCAAGCACTTGGGCCATCTTCCACTGCTTCCCCAGGCCATTAGCAGGGAGTTGGACTGAAAGTAGAACAGCCAGGACTCAAATCGGTGCCCACATGGGATGGCTTTACTCCCTACAACACAACACCAGCCCCTGCGATCTTTATTTTAATTTATCTGAGAGAAACAGGTGAGAAATGATGAGTGTAAGTCAGTGCCTATGTGACAGCTGACTGCTGTAGTGGTTGGAGTTCAACAGCAGCACTTTATGGCATCATTGGCAGGAGGATTTGAAAGCAGGATTTGTCACTTTACAGAAGCTCACTTGCTATGGCTGCTGGTGATGATGGTGGTGGCGATGATGATGATGATGATGATGATGATGGCGTCGGCACAGGTCCACGAAATCATCAAATTGCTAGTATTTAGAAGCCTAGTACTTACTTTGTTTGGTTTTAGAAGAAAGCAAATGAAATTGGGAATCAGATGACCTGGATACCAGTGACACTTTGTTCACTCACTAACTACTTGGGCAATTTCTTTCCCTTTCTAGAAACCATCCTTTTCATCTGTAAAATAAGAGTGCTGATTATAACAATAATTTTCAAGCTACTATTTAAGGACCTCCCTCTATGGCTGCCTAGATGTGTTAAGGGGAGCAGAAAGAATCTTGATTCTGCCTCTTTCAATCAGAGCAACTCCCAAATGGGCTTCTATTGTTTGTAATTTTATTGTTATTTTTTAAGAGTTTGGAATGGAGTGGCTAGAGAAACAAATTTCACCAGTTATGAAGTCTATGTCTTTATTTCAGCTGATATCCTGACCTCTGCCAGCATTATATTACTTAGAAAAGCAAAATACTATAGCCACAGCATTTGCTGATGAAAGCTACTACTCCTTCAATTTTTCTTCCACAAAGATTCCCACCAGCCTTGATACACTTCAGTGTAATAGATTATCCTGTTCATTAAGCTTAAAAATTACTGTTTAGGAGCTTGCATTGTGGCATAGTGAGTTAAGATGCCACTTGTGACACTGGAATCCTATATGGGACTTGAACTGGTGCCCATATAGGCACTTCTGATCCAGCTCCCTCTAACTGTACCTTTCAAGTAAACAAAACATTTAAAAAAAATCCTTCTGTCTCAGAAATATCATTTTGTGTACACTCCCATCTCTTATTTTTCTTTCAGATTGTCCTGTTAAATAATCAGAAAGGATTTATTATAAGCATTAATTAGGTTGGCAGGAAGTAAACCTTTCCACTATCCAACCTTGAATATGATTAATTTGTTAGAAATGTACTCATGCCTTATTTTGAATAAGCCTTATACCATTAGAATATTTTACCACTCACCAAATCTTTTCATCTCCCTAGACTCCTGTGAAATAGGTGGTGCAAATGTTGCTATACTTACCAGATAAGGACACTGAGACTCAGAGAATCCAGGTGTTAATGAGAAGCTAAATTAAAATTTCACTAAAACACAAATCTTCTCATTCTAAATTATTTGCTTACATAACAGCATTGAAGGAGGTATACCTTGTTACAGCTACCACAAGACGAAAGCTCCTCTTGGCCATAATGTCCCTAAGAGAAGAATTTTTCTCCTCAGCTACCCTTCAAGGTAATGACTAGAAAGTGGCAACTTCAATTGACAGCCTCCAGAATTCTTGTTCTTTAATCCCTTCACTAGCCCCTCAATTTTCCACCCACTGCCTTCATGCTCTACTCCTCTCTCACCTTCAACATTGTCTCTGCTTGTGTAATCACCATGGAAAAAGCAACAGGATACCAGCTTTGCCAGATAAGATATAGGATTGAATTTCAGATAAACAATGAATAATGTTTCAATGTTAATGAAACCAAAATGCTTCTTGGGGACATAATTTTAAAGTAATTCATTCATTGCTTTTCTGAAATTCAGATTGAATTATGTATCATGTACTTTCATTTGATAAATCTGATAAATCTAGATTAAAAGCGTAAGTTCTGATGTCAAAAATGATTTTGAGGCCGGCGCCATGGCTCACTAGGCTAATCCTCTGCCTGCGGTGCCGGCACCCCAGGTTCTACTCCTGGTTGGGGCGCCAGATTCTGTCCCGGTTGCTCCTCTTCCAGTCCAGGTCTCTGCTGTGGCCTGGGAAGGCAGTGGAGGATGGCCCAAGTGCTTGGGCCCTGCACCCGCATGGGAGACCTGGCTCCTGGCTTCAGATCAGATCGGTGTAGCGCCAGCTGTAGCAGGCATTAGGGGAGTGAACCAACAGAAGACCTTTCTCTCTGTCTCTACTGTCTATAACTCTCTCTCTGTCTCTCTCTCTCACTAACTCTGGCAAAAATAATTTTTTTAATATTTTTAAAAATTTAAAAAAAGAAATAACTAAATATGAAACACAATTGCCATCAATAGTTTTAAAATTAAGATGGCATTTAAAGCAGGAATAATATAAAGTAGAATATTTACAATAATGCATGCCCAAGTCAAAAATGTGGAAGGTGAACCAACGGCAAAGGAAGACCTTTCTCTCTGTCTCTCTCTCACTGTCCACTCTGCCTGTCAAAAAAAAAAAAAAGTGGCCCTCTCCGATCATTTAGTTTCTCAGGTGAATTTGATCAGTGGTTGTCAGGCTTTAATTCTGTAAGTCAGCCTGCATCTGTTAGAATGCAAGAGGCAAGTCACCTCAGAGAAGTGCAAACTAAAGACGACTCAAAACAGAGCAAGAAAGAATCAAGCAAAGTTACTATAAGTCAAGAAGATGCAATCAACGTTTTGTGGCTCAGGACTAAGACTTCACTTAGGAAATGCATGAAAACAGTAGGGTAAGGCAAAAGTCCAGGTACAGGAGTTAGCATTGTGGCATAGTTGGTAAAGCTGCTGCTTGTGATGCCAGCATCCCATATGGGTGCTGGCTCATGTCCCAGCTATGCTGCTTCTGATTCAGCTCCCTACTAATGGCCTGGGAGCAGCAGGGGATTACCCAAGTGCTTTGGCCCCTGCCACCCACATGGGAAACCCAGAGGAAGCTCCTAACTCCTGGCTTCGGCCTGGCCCAGCCCAACCATTGTGGCCATCAGGGCAGTGAACCAGTAGATGGAAGATCTCTATCTATCTCTCCCTCTGTCTCTGTAACTCTAGCTTTCAAATAAATAAATCAACTTTTTAAAAAGTCCAGGTATAATAGTGTTACTGAGCAAGTTTCTGAAATAAGAATCTCAATACTGAAATAGGTACAGATATGAATCGAAGTAGTCAACAACTCATACAGACAGAAAGTACGGTAAGTAAATTTGGAAGTAGGTCCTAGAGGCTTCTTTTCTGCCTGTTTTTTTTTTTTTTTTTTTTTGCTGTATCATGAGGAGATACAAGAGCACAGAGGGTGGGGCTGGAGTTGCCAGAGTGGTCATGGTGGGAGGAATTGGAAAGCTAGTAGTAGCAACTTTATACCAACCGACGTGGAAATACTTCAACCACTAGCTATATTGGTATATATCAACTAAATAGCAGTTCTGGATACAAGATTCCAACTAGATTGTGAACAGGCTAAACAGACAGAACTACTAATCTATATTATACCTTTTGTGCCTTTACAGTTGGGTTGTGATGTATACAATTACTCTTTGATCCTACATAATCTAGGCTGTAAACTCAGTGAAAAGCAAGAATCACATCATTTTTGTTCACCATTTCCTTATCACATTCACAGTGCTCAATATTTTCTTAATGAATAAATGGTCAGTTAGTTTTTCCTAGTACCTAGAATATTTTGAGGATATTTTTCTCTGGAATACAGAAAGCTCTGAGAACTGGCCTTTGAACTGTTCCTAACTAAAGTGGATGCCGTATCATTAGAACCTTTGTGTATCAATACCTAACCTTCTTCTAATGAGAAGACTACAAGGGTGTTCTCCTGTCACATGGCTTCCCTAAAGTAGAACTGAATCTTTAGTGGACCGCAGTTCACACATCCTAAACAAGTCCCTGGGGTCCTGCACTGTTCCTTAGGCTTTTTCAATTCTACTCCAAGTCTTTTTAGGAGAAATGAATCCAGTTTACAAACATAGAGAGAAATAAATTTAAGGAAATTTATTTCTTACTTATGAACTTCACTTTCAGATAAAACTAAAGTCTTTGACAATTCGTTGCTCATGATAAACTGCCTTCATTCATTAGAGGAAGTAAAAAACAGAACTTATTGCAATTCTGTAAGCTGCAAATTTCTCAGCTTTAAATAGAATAGCAGAACAATTCAAAGAATTAGCTGCCCATAACAATGATTCAGTATTTTTTAAGTTGAAGTCAGTGTACCTTAATCTGGCTCTCATTTTTATAGATATATTTAAATGTTATTATTTAAAGGCTATTTCATAAAATTACAAGTGATGCTGTGCATTGATACTCTAAGAAATACTATATCAAGACATAATAATAAGACAGTTTTTACCAATTTGTAGAAATTTGTACTGTGTCTTGAAAAAAGGGCACAATGACATGAAGTATTTTTTAATTTTATTTATGTATTTATTTATTTGGCAGAGAGACAAAAAGAAACAGACAGAGAGTTCCCATCTGCTGGTTTTCTCCCCAAATGCCTGCAATGGACTGAGTGTGTCAGTAGCTGGGTTGTCAGTAGCAGGAACTCAACCACTTGAGTTGTCACCTGCTGCCTCTCAGGGTCTGCATTAGCAGGAAGTTGGAGTCAGGAGCCAAAGGTGGATATAAAATCCAGGTACTCCAATATGTGACATGAGGTCCTAATAGACATCTTAACTGCCAGACCAAATGCCTGTCCCACTCCTAGGTATTTAACGTGGGGGGAGGGGGGTTGTCATAATTCCTTTTCTTTTCAAATAATTACTTCACTTTTCATACATTTTTATACAACTAATTGGCTAATTTTCCCTGCAAGCGACTGGTCAAGAAAATATTAAATCACTTTTAACTTGATTTAATGGATATTTGTTTATATTAACTTGCTGATTACTTTTCTTCTTGTATTGACTGAAAACAATTGACCGCTTAACTGCATAATTATTCCAATTTATTCCACATATTAATCCTAATCAAGCCACCCCTACACCACTCATCCAACCACATATCATCTATTAATACAATATATAATAATGTTAATATTTTATTCCTGATCCCAAAATAGTCACTACTTAACTTTATTTCTCTACATTCTAAAACCAGCTTTAGTAAGATACATAAAGCATGTTTATAATTTGGAATGGCCCTTCTTGATGTTAGCTCTAGTATTAATCTCAAGAGATTGTTTTCTTTTGAAGCCCAAACCTTGTGTCACACCAAGCCCCAAAATTCCAGAAATCCAGTATAGACACTATCCCTCGAATAGGTTGCAATGTTTCATGGACCCTTTTGACAGAAAATTACCCTAGACTGAATCAAACCACTCTTGGCCCCACAACAGTACCCTCATATCCCCAAAAAGGGCATGTAAATTAAACTGAGCTAAACAGGCAGGGAGCAGCACTTCATTGAAGATCATTATTAACTTTCTCAACTGCTTTCCTGTCAAGAAACATGACGATCCTTCCCAGCTGCTGAATCACTAACATCCACCATATTCATAGAAGCACAGAACAAATACTTTACTGCAAAAATGAGACAGGAAAAAATTCATTATTCCATACATTTCCAAAAACAATTTTTGAAAGAGTAAAATATGGTCTTATAAATGATACCCATGGTATAAGTGGAATGAAGAATGACCACTAAATCCAAACTGCTAAATAACAGCATTATATACATATTTCATTCAAGCGCTGAAATCAGCAGGTATGAGGTTATTATAAACAACACCAAAGACATCATATTTCATTATTTGTTACATTAAATTTTTAGAACATCTTAACCATAAATATCTTTAGGTAATAAGTATTTTGATAAGAGGGAAGAAGCCTAGACAAGAGGGAGAAATCTTAAATATGAGAATATAATTAGATACATTTCTAAATTTAATGCTAGATAAATACTATTGCTTTTATGTAATACTTGGTAGTCTCAATACTATTTACAAGTATATATGCTTCATAAAGTATTAATATCTATCACTATACATATGAAAACTATTCATGTTGCCCAACAACATTTAAATCATTTAGAAAATAGAAATTTTAACATAAATATTTTATCATTTTGATAACTCATTAAAAATGGGCAAATGTAACAGTATAGAAAACAATATCTACAACTGTTTTTCACTATCTGCAAAATGCTAAGTGAGTTTTTCCAAAGCCCTTACTCAAGTGAATGATGGAAATCGATTGGAAATACTATAGGAAAGGTAAATGGGGAAAAGATTGATGAAAAACAAGACAGAAGATAAATCAGAGGTGCTTATTAATCAATCACAGAAATTTGAAGAGTGAAAATAAACTAAGTATCATGTGATCAAAGTGAATAAATTGTGAGAACATTAAGGTTATTCATTCTATAAAAATTAATCAAAAACCAAAGAGATAATTGGAGGGAAATATGTGATTACTAATGTGCAAATCTTAATATATAATGCAATCATAACAACTCCATAACAGAAACCCGAAACATTTTATTTTACAAGAAAAAATGCATTCCCACCAATTTGTTATTTCTAAGAGAAATGTGAACTATTAAGTGTGGGATCTTGGTTCCAGGCCTGCTATAACACCATTTCTTTAGCATAGTTAATTTATTTAAGTTGGATTCCAAAATTTTCATCACACCCTTCTAACTTTTATTCTAAGCCAGGACCATAATTCATGATAATCTGAGAAGTGTATAATGTTGGCTAGAGAGTCTCATTTCTAGATTGTGATTTTCTATATACTTTGCTGACTTACTTTACTTGTATGCTTTCCTTCCTCTCATTACTCGAAACAACCAGGTATATATATAATGATACAAAAAACTGATGTTTGTTCCATAAAAGTTCAGAAGAATTAAGTTTCAATACAAATGGCACTGGTACATTCTACATGTTTCCTTAAGACCTCCCTCTATATATCAAATACATTTAATTCTACTTTTCTTAAAAGTATTTCCTTGTGTATGTCCCTACACCCCAATGGTCAATGGTGTGTGTGTGGGGGGGTATGTGTGTATGTGTGTGTGTGCTTTTAATTCATAGAAATGTGTGTTATTAAAAATTATACATGAATTTCAAAAATTTCACACCAAAATAAGCATCTTTTAATTCCACTTTCCATGAACTTTTTAAACTTCCCTGTATACAGTAATTTATAGGCTACTCCAATTGTATTGTAAAAGATCTTGCATGTTGAAAATAAAAGTAATGATATTTAAGTAGTACTCATTTTTTTTTCGACAGGCAGAGTTAGACAGTGAGAGAGAGAGAGAGAGAAAGGTCTTCCTTTTTCCGTTGGTTCACCCCCCAAGTGGCCACTACGGCTGGTGCGTTGCAACCGGCGTGCTGTATTTTTTTGTGGAGAGATAAATCCTCCTTTTTGATATAGCTTCTAAAAGACCTTTCAGTAGCTTAGCTCAATAATGCTCTTTTCATCCTACTTTGTGATAAATAAAGCTAAATGACAGTGAGGTAAAGAATTTGAGGTATCAGTGGTAAATACATAGGTAAGCACATACAAAGCATACAAACTCAAATGTGACCAACAATAAAGGAATCAAAACAATAAAAATTGCAATTACAAAGCTTAGTTGTCTCCCACAATAATTCAGATTACCATAGGTCAAATCATTTCCCCAAAAATGTAACAATGGTTATTGCTACTGAAGTCTCTTCAGTCAATCCTACAAACATATTGTTGGTCCCTACTGTAGATGTTATATAAGTTCCCTACTTGTCTGATTTGATATTTGTAAGTTAGGAGTGCTGAATTCAGAACTGTTTCTATCGGAAGTGTTCCGGAGGTTACATCGTGCTAAAGAATGTAGGAGAGCTTCCCGAGCTTTTGATGCTTCTATGTTCTGTTCTTGAGAGATCTGAAGGCTAATCTGATTTACATTATTCATTAGCAAATTGGAAGCCATAAGATTGGTTATAGAGCGGCACCTGGTGAGATTTTCTTCCAAAAATTGTTTATAGAGTTCATCCACCTTTTTTTCCATATAACTGTTAAGCATAGAGTTGGAGAGGGGCTGCTTATGAAACAAGATACTTTTTTCTCGTATTTCATCCCCATTCAATAATTTTGAGGCTGGTAGTTTCTCTACAGGCTCAGTGATAGGTGAATGACCCAGTGGTATATCCACTGAAAGCAAAAGGGGACCATTAAAAACATCATCATGTGTGTGTTCTACAAAGCAGCCTGAATCATACATGTTGCCCACATGATCACCTCCAATCTGTAGGTCAGGATAATTCTGGCAAATTCTTGTACATGACCAGGAGCGATATAAATCCAGTTGTCCTTCATCATGTTGTTCTCTCTTTGGAATGGGTAATGCAATGGACACATTTCCTGGAAGAGGCGTACCTTTGCACATTGCTGTAGTTACATCATCCACATGACTTGTATCATTACTTTGTTCTGTTAAACACTTTTTCATACACTTTTCTTGATTTTCCATCTTCACAGAGGAAAGTGAATTGTCTTCTATATCTAGAAGTTTACTTTTGCAAGTTTCCTTTTCATCATTTGAGGTATTCTTATATGTAAATGATTTGCAAAAATTTGTATATTTCTGTTCTTTATATAGGAGTTCAATCAGGAAGGCTTCTCCAAGCATCTTCTTAAATTAAGCTTTCTAAAAAGAAAAGTGTAGTATATTCCTGCAATACAAAATGACTCATTAAGGCAATGCACATTAAAATATCCAATAAGGTTTATAACTTGTGTGAAACAAATATGATTTAGAGAGGTAGTGTTACTGAAAGGACAGAGAATGGGAACAGGAATAAAGACACTTGAGTTATAGTTCTACAATTAACTCTTTAACCAGAGATATCTTATTTTTTTATTTGACAGACAGAGTTAGACAGTGAGAGAGAGAGAGACGGAGAGAAAGGTCTTCCTTCCGTTGGTTCACCCCACAACTGGCCGCTACAGCCAGCATGCTGTGTTGATCCGAAGCCAGGAGCCAGGTGCCTCCTCCTGGTCTCCCATGCGGGTGCAGGGCCCAAGCACTTGAGCCATCCTCCACTGCCTTCCCGGGCCACAGCAGAGAGATGGACTGGAAGAGGAGCAACCGGGACCAGAACTCGGCACCCATATGGGATGCCGGCGCCACAGGCGGAGGATTAACCCAGTGAGCCACGGCGCCAGCCCCCAGAGATACCGTATTTATCTCCAGATATCAATTCTCTCATCAATGAAATGATAATACTTCACTTATCTTTTTCACAGGGTTTTTAAAAACAGTATGATATTATATCATACCTATGCAAGTGTTTTAAAAAGTACAAACTTACACAGATGTATATTATTATATTCAACTATCTTTAAGGATTTATTTAGAAATGATTCAAGTGTAAACCTCTATCTTCAAAGATTCTTGTTAAAATGAAGTCTGTTTTCAAGGAATTGGTTTTAGCAGTGCTTTTAATTAATGTCATTTGAGTCACACATTGAAAAATTATACCTTAGAGCATACATAAGACATGGGAACATATATAGTGCTCATGCACACTTCTTGATTTTACCTATAAATATAGCCACTTATATTTTCAATAACGTAAACACAAATAAGTTTGTAAAAAATCGCTACCACTCCCTTCTCTCCCTCTCCCCTTCTCTCTCTCTCTCTCTCTCTCCTTTTCTCTCACCACTTTGAGACTCAAATATTACTTCTCTATACATTTAATCCAGTCTCTGGTATTCTCTTGTGTGGTTCTTAATTACAAATTTAAGATTATCAAATGTCTTGATACTATGTGAGTGTGAAAGGAAAAAAAACAGAGTTGATTCAAGACACAATCATCCATAGTGTCTGCTATACGTGTCTTCAGGCAATCTACTTATATTTATTTATATTTAAAGATGTTATGGAAGAAAATGAACCAATATGAATCAAAATATGTAAGAATTTGGACTTACCTTTTCCAGATGTCAAGATACCTAAAGGTTTGGATTTCTGAGATTCCAACGGTCTAAGCACAGGAAAATTTCCTTTTGGTTCCTTTGATTCTCCTGTTTTACTTACATGTCAGTAAGATGGCTTTAACCACACAAAATGGTTCTGCTTTCTATTCATACCATAAGACTGAACCAAACTAGTAGCAAAATGATGTGGATTGGTCACATGTATGGTAATGATCACATACCAAAAGAGGATCTTGAAAGTGTTTATTCAGATTGCAAATAACAATGATAGTGGGAAAATGTTGGCAGCAATAGCTTTCTTCATGCAAGTCAAAGAACAGACATATTTTTCACTGTTAAGTAGAAAAAAAAGCATTGTGAAACCAGTATATTTTGTAAGAATGAGCAATCAGAAATTATGTAAATGACCATTCATAAAAGTACGGCTAAATAAACCATGATACATATATAACATGGCACACTAAATTGAACATTTTAATGATATACTGATAATAAGCTTTTATTAAATACTACATGACAGTCTTTATGTTCTCCACATACAACTTAAATTAGAAGCTCTAATCCCCATTTTAAAGAGGAGGAAAAGAAAAGTTATACATTTGATGAAGGTCCTAAAGCTAATAAAAATGGTACTAAGATGTGTACGAGGAAAAAGAATGCATAAACAATGCTCCTTTCCACTATACTGTATTTCTTCTATCTCTATAGAATGCAAGTTGAAGAACAATATACACAGCATGATTTCATCATGAATTGGATGTGGTGTGCTATGTGCCAGGCACTATTCTAAATACCTCACACATGCTGATTTAATCTAACACCATTATGAAACAGATTTTATTAACTTTATTTTACCTTTGAGAAAACTAAGGCACAGAGAAGTTAGAGCACATGCCCAATATCACACAGTAAATGGTGGGGTCTGGGTTTAAACTCAGACAGCCTGACTTCATAGTCTGTGTGCTGAACTTCCTTGCTAAATTGACTTTTTTCTCCCTTTGAATTGCCTTAATATATGTAACTATGTTGGTGGAAAAGAATATAAATCAAACGCTTAATAGCGGTTTCCCTTGGGAGGAGAGTGACAGGAAGTAAGTGAAGGAATAATTTTACTTTTTATCGCATGTATTTAGATATGGTTTGAATTTTTGTACAATGATCATGTATTCATATATTATTTGATGATTGAAACAATACTTCACACACAAAATCACAAGAAAAAAATTTACTATCTTTTTTAGAATATGTTTTTCCAACCTCACAAATGTTTTCCCAATTTTTAGAATACTTTTAAACTCAGATACAAACTGCCAAAGTAGACTGGGAAGCAGACACAACATTTCCACATAATACTTTTGGCTACGATTCTCAGTACAGCTTTTGTTTTACATTATTGTACAATTTTAAATTATCACAAACACAGACTAAGTTAATTCTAACTATGTATGTCATACAAAGCAACTTATTTTAGGTTGTCACAGATAGCCTCTTGTAAGACAGAGTGTGCTAAAGGAGCAAAGGCATTGGCTCACAGTTAAATGAGATTTATCACATTTTTACACCAAAAAAATCTGAAAATGTTTTTAAAAGATTTTCTTACCAGTACTCCCACAAAGGGATTTTAAAAGAAAATGGGGCCGGCACCGCGGCTCACTAGGCTAATCCTCCACCTTGCGGCACTGGCACACTGGGTTCT